CACACAACTAGGTATTTTCTATCTGAAGCCAAACTGTTAATTTTAACAAACATAAACAAATCAAACCAAACAAAAATCTGAACAACAGTAGTAGTGAGACCTTGTCTCAAAAAAAAAACCCAAACAAACAAACAAATAAAAACAAAAATAAAAACGAAACAAAATTAACCAACCAACCAAAACAAAACAAAACAACCCCCCCCCCCCCCAATTCTCTAGTTGCTAAATGCTTATTTGCTGACCTGAAACTGTAATTTGTGGCTTAGGAACATTTTTAAGTTTTTTTTAACAGCTTATTTTTTCCTAAATTTTTAATAATTTATTTTCTATTTACTCATGAAATAATAATTTTTTTTCATTTCTGTGCTAGGCACTGGTAAGATGCATGAATAAAACAAGCAAAATCCTTTCCCTGTTCTACCCATAGCATACAGTTCTAAGATCAGGCATACAATTATGTAAAGATTCATAATTAAACCTATCATTATCCAAAGACATAATTACAAATGGTAGAACAATGGAGGAATAATATATAATAATATATGGGACACTCATCCTGATCTGGGGAGTGGCACAGAAATTATTTATGGGGCAATGATATTTAGGTAGAGGCTTGATACATTGAGGGAGACAGATAAATGGAGATTGGGGCAGGGGCAGAAAGCACAGCCAAAGGGATATTAAAGGGGGTGGAGAGTCAAGCTTGGGGTTTGGAGAGGCGTAGCAAGGGCCATGAGAGGGGAGAGAGGATGAGGCAGCAGGACAGTGTAACCCTAGCTGACGATGCCATATTTCCCCTCAGGGAAAGGGAAGCATCTTCAGAGTGTTTTGTGTTTCTGAGACAGGGTCTCTATGCAGATCAAGCTGGCCTCAAGCTCACAGCAATTCACTGTCATAACAATTCACTGCTGCAGCCTTCCGAGCGCTGGAATTAAAGCATCATCAGCAGAATTTTAAGCTAGAAAGGGAAAGGAATACATTTGTTTTTCAACAGTCTTTCAGGCTGACTGGTTGTGGAGAATGAAAAATAGGGAAACAAAACCAGAAATTGGGTCAGTTTTTAGGGGATGGTTCCTTGCTTTTGGTAGGTAGAAAAGGGTTGGAATAAGGGAATTTAAGAAATACTTAAGGGGTGGGATTGGTAAATCTTTGGTGGCCAAAGAACACTCGTAAATGCGTGCTGTAGGTTTGGTTGCATGTGTCAGTAGACAAATACAATAGAAAAACACTGGAGGAGGTACCCAGAACCTGGCACTACTGCCAGGGCACACTAAAACCTCCTTAAATGTCCTTTGGGGCCATCTTGTTCATACATTTACATCTTAGGAGATACTAAAAAGGAACCCTCCCTGCCTTCCTGTGTGTGTGCTCACCGCACCCCCCCCCCCCCCCCCCCCCCCCCCCGAATCTTTCTACAATGAGCAACTTCTAATTGTACTTCACTGGTTTATGATAAGGGCTTATCTGACCTTTCTGGCTTCTTAAAGCATGTTTCATTTGCACACTATTGGCATTTTACCTAACAAAAGGACTTCAGGACCAATCAGCAAATGAAAGGAGCAGGGAGAGAGAGCAGGTACATTGACTTTTATTTTGTGTTTCAGTTGACTGTTTCTCTGAGATCATTAAATACACAAGTAGGAGAAACGTTCATGTTCCAGCTCTGAGCAAATGAGTAGGTGGAGTCCACTTGTAGAGAAAGGGAGCAAAGAAAAAGATGTTTTAAGAAAATATGTGGTGCTTTCTCATTGCTTTGACCCAATACCTGATAAGTAACTTCATGGACAGTTTTATTTTGCTCTCTGAGAGACTGCAATCCATCATGGCAGGCAAGACATGGTGGCAGGTGGACCCAAGGTGTTGGGAGCATGTAGCAGCAGCTCCCAGCTCCCACAACTCCACAGAGCAGGATACAGAGAAAGGGGGCTGCCAGTGCTCAGGTGACTTTCTCGTTTCCCTTTTTATTCAGTTCAGGGAGCTGAAAATGTTGATAAGCTTTTATTTTACTACTCCATGATCAAGAATGACTCAGGAGATAAATCCTGGCTTGAGATCCATCGTGAAAGTCAGGGAATACAGATGTGGGTGGCTTCACAGACTGGTAACAAGTGTCCCACACCCAGGAGGATCTTGGCTTCCTTTAGTGCGCTGTGCCTGCCTTCTGGAAGCTCTTAAGTTTTGAGCAGGGAGCATGTTTTCATTCTGGGCAGGCCTGGTGGGGACAGCAGGGAGCTTTACAGGGCTGGAGTCTGAGTGCTTAGCTGACTCTTCATAGCTCCTTTTCCCACAGACCCTCCACCTGAGTATTCCCAGAACCAAAATTTTGCTCTTCCTCTCTCTCTGTATTATTCTATTTGCTTTGACCCTTTGAAAACTGCCAATTTTCAATCATTGCGGTTTGTGATTCTAATTAAAATGTTTTTGTGGCCGCTGATGTAGCTCAGTTCGTAGAATGCTTGCCTAGAATGCATGAAGCTCCCAGGTTTCATCTCCAGCACCCCATGTATAGCAAGGCATGCCTGCAATTCCAGTATTCAGCAGAGAGAGGCAGGGGGGCCAAAGGCTCAAGATGATCCTCTGCTGCATAGCAAGTATGAGGCTAGCCTGGGCCATATGAGATCCTCTCTCTCAAAAACAAACACAACAACAACCAAATGAAACCACAATCATTCTGTCCCATATTGCAACCCTCACATGTTCATGTTTCATATTGTTACGTCACCATGGTTAAGGAAGTTCTGTAATAGGGCAGACTGAGTTTGAAGTCTTGTATGGAAGTTAGTTCAGGTAAATTTCCTCAGTTTCTCTGAACATCTGTTTCCACATCTGAAGATCATTATGAGCATTAAATTAGATAGTGTGTGTAAAGTGCCTTATGCAGTGCTTGGCACATTGTTAAAATTTAATGTACAGTTTTAAAATTTTTTACTCAAATCTGAAGAAGTAGGAACACCTGCTGTTATTGGCTGTTTTTCTCATTTATGTGACCAAACACCTAACAAGAAACAAATGAAATTAGGAGAGATTTATTTTGGCTTGGTACGGAACACAGTGTCATGTGCTTGCACGAGGGTGGCAGGAGCTGATGGCGGCTGCTTGCTCACAACTATGTGGATCAGGAACAGAGACTAGTGAGAAAATGAGATGAGTCTGTAAACCTCCAGATCCGCCCCTAGTGACTATTTCCTCCAGTGATACTTCACCTCTTAAGGGGTTCCACACTCTCCCTAAATACGCTACTGGCTGGGGACTAAGTTTTCAAATGCAAAATGGCAATTCCTGCTTTAAAAATGTAGACATACTTAGCAGGAGTAAGGGGAACAGTGATTTGGTTTGTTTCAGCAGATTGTCTGTCTGTCTATCTATCTATCTATCTATCTATCTATCTATCTATCTATCTATCTATCTATCTATCTATCTTTTTATTTGCCCCTCAAACTGGACAGGACAAAGCAGCTTTACTGAGTTTTTTTTTTTTTTTTAATCTTTTCGAGACAGGGTCTACTATGTAGTCCTAGGTGACTTGAATCTGGATATGTAACTGGTTGCCTTGAACTCACAGAACAGCCAGCTTCTACACTTCTAGTGTTGGGGTTAAAGGTGTGTGTCAGCACTCCTGGCCCTTCTGAGGTTCTTGTTTGCTTGCTTTAGTTTTTTTTTTTTTTTTCTTTTTTTGGACAGGGTCTTTGTAAGCATTGCAGCTCGGATGGGCAGGGATCCAGGTACACAGGAGCCAAGGAATTGGTGTACCCTAAGCCTGGCAGCTTACAGTTCTGCTCCAGAGAAAGACTTCCCCATTGTAACAATGCTCTGGCAGGGGAGAGTTTTCCCAGCGAAGTTGTTGCAGTTCTCTCAGGCTGGTGGAGTGTAACAACTCTGCTCCGCTAGGGCGGCGAAAGTGTTACAGTTCCTCTCTGCTCCAGCAAAAAGTTGTTTCTTCTCTGCTCCACTCCACTCCGGTGAAGGAGGGTCTGACCCAAACCTCATTCAAGAGATTTATTGGGAGGGAGGAATCCAGGAGGGTGGCTGCCTTTGCCAGGGTGGGAAAAGGCAGTTGCCAACTGAACAGGTACAAGGCTTATATAGGACTTCTTGGTGGTGGTGGTGTTCCAGGGTGAAGATTTTCAGGGTGGAAATTGGTCAGATTTCAATCTGAGTTTGGGCAAGCTCAGAGACTGGCTGAATTTCGTCCTCAGGGATTGGTTGATTTTCTTGCTCAGGGTTTGGTTGGATTTGGTGCTAAGTTCGTCAGTGGTAGACTGTTTCTTTGGCTCTGGTTTCAGGGCCAGGGTGTGTTTCTTTGGCTGGCCCCTTCACCCTAAAGTCTTACTCTTCCAGACTGCCCTGAAACTGGTGGCTAATACTCCTGCCTTCAGCTCCCCCCACTGGTGTACCCTGCCACCTGTGGTCTTACTAAAGTTCTTGATTAAAATCTCAACTCCATTTGGACCCCACGGCCTGACCTAATAATTTACACAGCCAGTGTGGAGGCAAGCTTGTGGGCAGAGCAAGTCTTGTAAACACACTCTTTAATCTTCGTCACATAGTAGGCACTGAAACTACTGTAGGGTATCACCTACCTAGCTGTGTGTCGGTCTCCAAGACCCACACCAGCACAGCACTGGCATGGTAACTTCATTCTCAACCCCTTACCATTTGATGCCAGAGGCAGCCAGGGAAGCTCAAGGGAAACAAGCGCGCTCCAGACCTAGTTCATAGGCTAACTCTCCGCGCGAGGCTGCAGTTGCTATGGAAACGGAGAGAAAAAACAAACTGGGCTCCCCGCGGGCCTGGCAGGCCCTCTGAAGACTCTAACGGCGGCGGGAGGACCGGTGCTAGGGACGCGCGGCGGGCTAGGGTTCACCGCCGTGCTGGCCCAGCGCCTGCAACCCGCCCCGCCCCCACCTGTGCCCCTCCCCAGCCCCTCCCCCACTTCCCGCGAGTTTCGGTAGGTACCACTTCGACGGGCCCACCCGAGCCTCACCACTGGGCGGCGCTGGCCAGACCGGAGTGCCGGGGTTTCGGACTCAGGAGCTTCTGTCTGTGCAGATTACTTAATTTATTGATATTAATTTAGTCTGTTTGACACTGAGGCTGGCTTAAAACTTTTTACATAGTCCAGGTTGGCCTCGAACTCGAGGCAAAACTCCAGTCCTAGCCACCCTAATTCTAGGATGACAGATTTGCGCCACTGCGTCCGAACTGCTCAATGCATTTTTAAGTAGTTTGTTTTCCTCAAAGGAAAATCCCGGCTACGGGATTTTAATGGCTTTATTGGGGTGGGGTGGGGTGGCGAACGATCTGGTGGTATTAGAGTGCAAGACCAGGGAAAGAAAAAAGCGAAGCGGTTGGGAGAAACAACACAGATGTGATGATAGGCACTGAATCTCGCCATGTTAAGGTGCGCTTGAGTGCGTGTGCGTGTGCGCGCGCTTCAGTGCGCGCGTCCGCCGCTGTCCCTCCTGTCTCAGCTCGCGCAGGGGTTTAAAGCCCGGCCGACGCGGGTTCCCAGACAGCACACCTGGGTGCTGCGGGGCGGGAGAGACTGCTGTGCAAGCCTGCGAGCACTGATTGGCCGTCCGCGCCGCGCCTTACTTGAACTGCTACCTGCTGGGGCTGGTTCCGCACGGCGAGCCCTTCCTCACCGGCGAGTGGCTTTTCCTTGTCCCTGCAGGAGGCGGTCCACGAACTGGTGTTGCAGGCCCGTGGAGTGCTAGCGGGTCCAGCGTCCAGCGGAGAAGATGAACGGCCCCAGCGCCAGGTCCAGCCACCTGTCGCAGCCAGTGGTGAAGAGTGTGCTGGTGTACCGCAATGGGGACCCCTTCTTCGCCGGGCGCCGTGTGGTCATTCATGAGAAGAAGGTGTCCAGCTTCGACGTCTTCCTCAAGGAAGTGACGGGCGGCGTGCAGGCGCCCTTTGGGGCCGTTAGGAACATCTACACCCCGAGGACCGGCCACCGCATCCGGAAACTGGACCAGATCGAGAGCGGGGGCAACTACGTGGCTGGGGGCCAGGAAGCCTTCAAGAAACTCAAGTGAGTCAATGTGCCTCTGCGCCGTGGGGCGTGGTTGATAGGCTGCCTCCGGTGGGTCTAGCAAGGTGCTGGCAGTTGCAGGTAGGGTTGAAACTGGAGAAGGAATTTCACTCCAGTAGCAGTAGGTGCGGATTTTAAATGACCGGCTAAACAGTGTAGAAACAACAGCATTATTTGGTTATTTCGAGACATGGTCTCTGTAGCTCCAGCCTGAAACTTACTATGTAGATCAGGCTAGCTTTGAACTATCAACTTTTCTCCTGCCTCAGCCTCCCAAATGTGAGATTACAGGCTTATTTTATATTTTTATTAAAGCCCACCCCTTTAGCTTAAAAAAAAAAGATTTCTTCAAATTAATTGCAAGGGCTGGATGTCCTGTTATGATCTCCCTCCTCATTGTTGGAATTCCTTCATTGCAAGCAGAATGCACCCAGCCAGGTGCGGTGCCCTCTTCCCGTGTCCTGGGTGTTTGTGCTAGTCACAGAGTGCTTGGAAAAGTCCACTGACTTTGGTGTCTGTGCACATCTTTCGCTCTTGGACCCGCAGGCCACTTTCCCCACGGTCATTTTCTGTGAATTAGCAACAGTTTAAGGTCTGCGGCGTGAACTAAGATGGACAGACTTGACTCATCTTTGAGGACTTCCCACCTGAACACTGATAATTTTAATGCAAATCACAAAGAGATAGGAACAGTAAGAAAAGTACTTAAGTTTATGTGGGAGTTGAGAGTTGTCAGGAGTGGACAGGATAGTAAACGCTTACATTTCATGTTCTAACGCTTTACTGACGCGTATGTTGGAGACTCCACCCATTTCCATGATTTCCAGAGTTGCAAACCATCACTACAAATTCATTTTACAGTATTTCGATCACTTACCTAAAGAAACTGACAACCCCTAACTTCCTTTTCCTCCAGGCATGAGCAAACCACTAATCTATTTCCTGTGTCTATGGGATAGAATAGTACAACACGTGGACTTGACGTCTGTCCTGTTTGCCACTGTAACACTTTCAAGGTTCATCCACACTGTAGCATGTACCAGTGCCACTCTACAGTTGAGTAGTTTTCCATGATATGGATCTAATGATTTTTCTTCATCCATTAAACAGTTGATGTTGGTTGTTCACTCTGGGGCTATTATGAAGAATATTTCTGTGAGCACTTGTTTTCTGCTTTTTATTTCTTGGTTGTATCTACCAGTGGAATCATGGAATTACAGATAATCTATATTGTATAGCTCTAAAATAGGATATTTTAATTTAAATTTATCTTGGGCCCCAGAAAAGCAAAAAGTTTAAAAATATTTACTATAAATCTATTTCCTGGTTATTTTCTAATTGTATGGAACATTTCCACCAAAATATTTCCATATACCAAAATACCAAAGTTCTCTAGTCATGCCCTTGTTCATCTGGCTTGTATAAGCTGAACTCCAGGGGTCCTGCTCTCTGGGAATGGAAACAGTCCTTATGGAAGACAAAGGGTACTTCTGAATTTATTTTTTCCTTCTCTGAAACTTCTCTTAAACATAATTTGTCTAACTCTAGAGAAAAGAGCTCAGTGAAACACTGTGGCTGTCTATAAGAAATTTAGAACTGTTTTGTTGTTTCTTTGAGAAGGTCTCATGTAATCCTGGCTAGTCTTCAACCCCATATGTATCTAAGGATGACCTTGAACTCCCAAGTTCCTGCCTCAACCTCCAGAAACTTAGAAATACAACCAGAAGACTTAGGCTTTGCTAGCTCCTTATAGCTGTGTTTGTGGGCAAGTATTTGGAATCAACCAATCAGTGGTGGAGTTGGGGGTGGAGTTGAATTGAGAGAGTGCTACATAGCATGCACAAAGTCCTTGATCCCCAGAGCCCCACAGAACCAGGTATGGTGCATACATCTGTAACCTGATCTTTTAAGAGGCAGAGGCAGGAGAATCATAAGTTTATGGTCATCTTCTACTACATTAGAAGTTCATGGTCAGTCTGAGCCTTATAACCTTCCTGCCTCTATCTCTCAAAGTGCCACTAAACCTGGCTTTATGTGGTACTGGGCCAGCCTTAGATGCATGAGACCCTATGTTGAAACAATGAAAAGGTAAAAACTATGGCTATGAATGCATTTTGTAGATGCCACTGTATTTTATAAATATAAGGTTTCTTGATGGCCAGTATTTTGCATTATGTCTATATTTTAAATTAAATTATTTTCATAGCTGAGTGTAGTGGGGCATGTAATCCTAGCACTTGGGAGATAGAAACAGGAGGAACAGGTGTTTAAGACCAGCCTGGGCAGAGTAAGTTCAAAGCCAGCCTGGGCAATGTGAGCTCCCATCTCAAACAACAACGGCAAAAACAATCCACTTAGAGACAGAATAATTTTTGTGAGAATGGAAATCTGGTTTAGGTTTTGAACAGCCGAAAGCTTTAGACTATAGTCATTCACACCTCTCTTTGTTGGAGTGGTATTACCAATTCAGGATGAAAAACTACAGCTTCAAGACAAACAGAACTTGCTTTCCAAACCACTTTTTCTATGTATGTAGTGGGTCTGCAGTGTTAATTTTTGCTTTTAATTCACACATGAGAACACAGAAACTGAGTTTGTTATTGAAGTCCCCACAGTTAGTTTTCAATGCTGATGTTGGTGTTAAAGTAGCAGTGAGTATCTATCTATGCTTGTAGGGACAGACTCTAAAGATTTAAGTGCTGGATGTTTGAAGCTTAGCGTTGTATGTTTGTATAACAACCAAGGCAACCGACAGAATGAAAGAGTCTGAAGAGTGCTGAGGATCATTTGTGGGTTTTCACTTTGAGCCAACATAATGTTGGAGAAGACAGAAAAATCCCTGTCAAAAAGAGGCGACCAATTTCCTGCTGGAATGTCTTTCACTTAGACATTTCTCATATTTTTGACATTGTCTCTAAAGTCCAGGTAAGTTTTAAATCTTTCTTTTACAGAACTTTTAGGGAGTATTTTTCTCAAAACTTTTCTTGGGGCCAATGAGACGGATGATTGAATGGGTAAAGGTACTTGTGTTGCAAGCTCAATGACCTCAGTCTGACCCCTGGAGCCCAGGTAAAGGAGGAAGGAGAGCACCCGTTTACAGAACTGCTCTTTGACCCCACATGTGAGTGGCAGCATGTGCATGGCCGAGCTCACACGAGTGCATAGACCCACACCTCTAAACGCTCCTCACACATTCTGGAGTTGTCTCACCTCCATTAACCTGTTAGGTCTGAGACACTTAGGATATAAAACAGGAGCTATTCTCCTGTATGCAACAGAATTTTGTTGTCTTGATAGAAATACATCCAGGGAATTCCCCAAAGACCCATTTCATTGCTGATATCGATTGTCCACACCATCTCACGCAATTGCTATTTGCATAGGGAAATGTAGTTTAAGTTCCATACCAATTAACATTCTGTCCAAAAAAAACCCAAACATCATCAGGCGATGGTGAGCCCAGTTCAATAGCCAAAGTTAATTCTAATATATAAACTTGTAACAATTTATTGCATTTGTTATTATTGTTGTATGCACCTGTGTGCTGTGTGTAGGTGTGTGCATGTACAGGTTGAGGGTGGCAGTCAGAGGACTACTTTGGGAAGTCAGTTCCCTCCTTCCACCATGTAGGTCACAGGGATGGAACTCAGGCTTAATGGCAGGTTTCTTTACCATCTGAATAAACTCTTTTTTTTTTGACTACTTGTCTGCTATAGTAGTTAAGATAGTTGAGTCTCTAATTGTGGTTAGAAATTAGAAGCTAGATTTATATTTTTATGTTAAAATAATTAGTATCCCTTATTTATAAGACAGTTTGGTAAGCATTTAAAACTGGAACCAGATGACACTGATGGGCTAATCCTCTGAAGTTGACAAAGATAACAATTTGCAAATTGTGCTTAGGCAACAGCCACTAGTTAGTATCTGTAGTGAAGAGAAATGGGATAGTGAGAGTATCAGAGGTTAACTAGCCCCTCATCTGTTTGTAAGCTGATCCAAAGCCTAAACCACCCCACATGGCTGGGTGCTTTGGTGTCACTGGGGAACCTACCCAGTCTTTCCCAGGTTTGACTCTGACGCCCAGTCTGTCTTTTCCCAGGCTTTCCCTATTTCCTTTGACCTAACTTTTGTAATGAATGCAATTCATAGAATTTACAGAATGGAGCTACGTTAAAGAGCTAGAGGGTGAGTCAGCCGGTAGAGTACTTGCATGCCTTGGGTTGGAGCCCCAGAGCCACATAAAGCAGATGTGGTGGCGTTTGCCTGTAATCCCAGCACTAGGGAGGTAGAAGCAGGAGGATCAGAAATTCAAGGTTACTCTTGGCAACACAGTGAGTTCAAGCCTAGTTTTCAGTATATAAAACGCTGTCTCTAAAAAAAGGAAAAATAATGGAGGAGAGCGGGAGAGGGTGAGAGTGAGCGGAGGGGGAGGGAGAAAGAGAGGAGAGAAGGAGGCTAAGTCCAGAGTGATAAGCTTCTATGAAGGGAGAATGCTTCCCACCAGAGCATGTATTCCCTCCACTTTAGTTCTCTTGATGTTTAGGCAGATGATTTCAGCTTTGGTCGGTGAGGCTATGTGAACAGCGGCCTCACAACACTTGTGCCTACTGATTTCTGCTCAGGCGTATACATTTCCTGTGACTGGCTTTACTTTGTAATAATGCTTACACATTATTATATATATTATATATATATATATATATATTATATCAATCCTTACTTTTTTTTTTAACCTTCTAGTTACTTGGACATAGGAGAAATCAAGAAAAGACCAATGGAAACTGTTAATACTGAGGTAATGCAAATTCTGTTTCGAAGCTTTGAATTAATGCCATCTTTTGGTTGTTGTTTCTTATAGTATGTCTGACATATGGACAACACTCGAATAGTAAGATACGAGTTCTTAAATGTATATGAGGGGTGCTATATGTTTTAAGGAAAAAATGGTCCTTTCTTTGCTGGAGTATTTTCAGAAACGAAGAGATAAGTCCTCAGGTATGCAGGATTGGATGAAATGTTCTCCCATACAAGTCTCCCTGTTCAGAGTGAGAAGATTTTGAGTAGAGATGGATACGTCTCTGTTCAAAGTCCGTAAGGAATCCCGCCTACCTCCTGACAGCTTACCTGTCAGAGGCAGCCAGGATCACACTTCCAGCCCGAGGCTTTCCTCAAGACAAGTGATTGCCACGTTGGACTTGCTATGTCATTACTCTTGGTTTCTTTGAGGCAGGGTCTCTGTACATGGTCCTGGCTGTTCTGAAACTCACTAGGCTGGCTCGGAACTCACAGAGATCTGCTTGCCTCTGCCTCTGGAGTGCTGGGATTAAAGGTGTGCACCACCATGCCTGGCTCAAAAATGTGTCTGCTTTGTTTTCATTTTTATTTTTCATTGTGCTAAGGATCAAACCCAAGGCTTTACACATGCTAAGCAAGCTCTTTGCTACCAAGTTACATTCCCTGTCCTTCCTTATTTATTTATTTCTCTAACTATCTATCGATCGATCGATCCATCCATCCATCTATCTGTCCATCTAACTGTCTATCTAACTGTTTATCTAACTGTCTATCTATCTATCTATCTATCTATCTATCTATCTATCTATCTATCTATCTATCTATCTATCTATCTATCTATCTATCATGTTGGAGACAGGATCTTCCTAAGCTTAGCCTCCAGCTAATGTAACCTAGGTTTCCTTTGAACTTAAATTCTGTCTGGGCTTCCAGAGTAGCTAGGAATGTGTGTCACCATGCCTTTTTTGTTTGTTTTTGTTCTGGGGATCGAACCTGGGACCTTGAACATGCTAAGCAAACATTCTGCCACTGGGTTACAGCCTCAGCTGATGTAATGTGTGAAAACCACTTCCAACTTGCATTAACTTTCTACTGGGCACAGTCGACAGACATTTGCAGGAAGGAGGGTTGGAGGTGAGTCGTGTGCACCAGATAACCAGAGCACCACGTTCTAAGCTGCTTCTGAAAGCCTGGTGGAACTTCCAGTAATTCTATAGCATGTATTTCTCGGTTTGTGGGTGAGAACAATAAAAGCTGAAGCTAAGATGATAGCCTGAAGTGCTCCAGTGAGGCATGGGAAGATGTAGGGCAGACTGAACTCTGCCCACCAGCCCAGGTGAACACTCTTCCCATTATGTCCCTCAAATCCAGCACTGCCATATAGAAAAGCAGTTCTTCCATTCAAAGTCCAGACCCCGGAGACACTGTGTACAGTCTCACCCCTTTTCTCTCATTCTACTTAAGCATGCAACAAGCTGACTAAATCCCTCCAGAAAAGTCATCTAAGGTAAAAACTCGAATTGTGCATTACATGAAGAATGTGAGGTTACATTCATTATTCAAGGAGTATTCACCAAATGGTTTATGGAAGAGGTGCTATTTCCAGATCTTGTTTAAAACAATATATTGTCTATCTTTTCTTTTTTTTTCAATGCATATCACATTAATGAAAGTGATGGGCCTTAAAGCTTAAAACAGACAATGGTATACATTTTTCCGGTTATGTTTATATTATGGATAAAGAATGAGCTCTTGTTAATAGTTATACTGAGCGGAAATAGAGACTAGGTTAGTGGATTAGTTCTGGATATGAATCTGTACACACTTGTTTGAAATAGGCTGCCTTGGATGTGATTGGTGCTGGAACATGTATGTCTGTGGTAGAGTTTGAGATGTATGAATTCCTTGACAGCTTGAGCTGCAGCCTCTGTGGTGTGCATGAATCTAGTAAAGTGTAAGGTGTGCAGCAGGTTTATCGAGAGTAACTTTTCCATGCTGCATGTGGTGCTGCATACCTATGATCCTAGCAGAGCAGAAAGGTCAGGAGCTCAAGGTAATCCTCACCTACACAGGGCATTAGAGGCTAGCTGGGGCTATGTGAGGCCTTGTCTCGTAAAACCAGCATCAAAGTCAAAATCAAAACAAAAATAACAAACAAACCCAAAATACTACAACCATCTGTAACTCCAGTTCCAGGGAATTCAGTGTCTTTTTCTGGTTTCTATAGGAAACACACACACACACACACACACACACACAGAGTTCACATGCATACATTTAGGCAAAACCATCATATGTATATAATAAATATATCTAAAGAAGGAAATGCAGCTTTAACCGTTAGGTCTGTAGTATTATTGTGGTGGGGGGCGGCGTACATGCCATAGTACTCACCTGGAGGTTAGAGGACCACTTGTAGGAGGGGAGTCCCTTCTCTCCTTCCTCCTTCTATCATGTAGGGCCCGAGGCTGGAACTAGGCAGGCAGGCTTTGACAAATGCCTTTATCTGCTGAGCTGTCTCACTAATTCCTGATTGACTCTCTATGGTTTCATTGACCCAGCAGGTTCTAAGTCGTGTGAGTACACTAGTGATAGCTTTTCCAGGGTATCCACGCTGTGCATCTCACTGATGTCAGTCAGGAAGCTGCTGCTTTGATGTTCAGATTGACCATCTCAGCATTGCAGTGCTTATTTAATTTAATAAAGGTCCCAAATACACAAGTAATAGTGCTGGGAGTTTACTTATGCCAAAGAGAAGCTGTTAAAGCGCTACATTAAGTGAAAATGTAAAAGTTGCATAATTTTTTGACATTACTTTTTTATGAGTCTTGTCCTGTGTATGATCTGTGGGGTCTGGTACTGTCTGTGGGGCCAGTGTTCACAGGAGGTCTTGGAAATCTACCTGATTTGTATAAGCAGAGGGTAGGGTGGGGACTGCTGCGTTGCTCTCTGTGGAAAAGTATTTGTTGGTTCCCCTGAGACCCCAACTCTCCCATATGCCAGCCTTGCTGTGGGGAAGTAGCTCTGTCTTCCACATATGATTTATGATCAAACTTTTGGAATTCAGCAAGTTCATAAGTTAGAAGACTGTGTTCAAACCTTGAAAAAGGACTTGGAAGCCTCTCGTAAAAAGTATGAATCCTTCTTCTTTGATCTAAGGCAAGAATTTCCTCCCAGTACTCAGTGTCCACTGAGAACACAATGCACACCTTCTGCAGAACCCATGTGTGGCCACTGCTGGAGTACACAAACATGTAAGAGGGAAGCCATCAGTGACAACTTGGAAAACGGTTTAGAGTACACAGAATTTCAGAGTTTAGAGTTGTTCCAAAGGGAAGCTTCAGCAGAGCAGTGATACAAAAATACCTTTTAAGAAGCATTATCATGAATGGTAAACACTGCTTATTAGAGGGAGTTCCCTTCAAACCCGAAGTGATTCCCTACAGTGAGTTTGCAGTAGCAGGACTGCACACCAAAAGCACCACAGCAGAATGCACCTAGTCACTTTAAGCATGGTCGTTCTAATTATTCCCAGCAGGCTTTGCTGCAGAAAGGTCTCTGCACTTCTTTGGGGTTATGCAGAACAGAGGAGGAGTCCTAGGCACCAGAGTGGGAAACACCTGCTTCTGTGCCGGGACTTAGCATTTCTCTTCTGCCCCCAGTGCCTGCAAGACTGGTGCACTATGGCTGCTTTTTACCTAGCGATATAGATAGAGCGGTGCCCATGACCTGGCTGCAGGTGCTGGTCACTTGGGTTGTGCTTCTCACCTCAGCATTCAGAGCGTTCTGACTGGTGTCATTGCTGCTCTGCCCCCCAGGCTCGTCTCCTTTGTCTCTGTGTGTATGTGGATGCATGTGCACCTGGAAGACAGAGTTCAACTTCAGTGTCTTCCTCAATTGTCCTCCATCTTATTATTTGACCCTGAACCTGGAGCTTCTTGGTTTTTCTAGGCTGGCTGTCCAGTGAGCTTCAGGGAGTCTCCTGTCTCTGTCCTCCCAGAGCCAGAGTTAAGACATGTGCCCACCGGCTAGTAAGAGAGTACTGGGAAGCGTTTTCCTAACTGAGCCACCCTTCTCCCCTTCCTCTCGGCCAAGTTTCAGACCTCGTTATAGGCTCCCACGTTCAAGTCAGCTTGCCTGGTTCTTCTGTCCTTCCTTGACTATGCGATCTGTGAGAGCGCCCTGTCCTCACACAGCAGACCCTTCAGATTCTGCGGTGCAGCCCCTCACCAGCTCACGGTGGGTCTCACTCCTCTGCACGTCATTTCTGCTGCCTCCGTTCTTTGTGTTTCTCTACCTTGTCTGTTTTGCTTCCATATGATTGAATACCTACAGGTACCATAGAGAAGGCAGAATAACAAGCAGTGACAAGACATACTTAGCCTCTTACTTTCATGAATTTGTAGTGGTTGATGGTGGAGGGCTCAGCCTGTTGTAGGTGGTGCCATCCCTGTGCTGGTGCTCCCGGGTTCTATAAGAAAGCAGGCTGAACAAGCCATGGGGAGCAAGCCAGTAAGCACCCCCTGCCCATGACCTCTGCATCAGGTCCTGCCTCCAGGTTCCTGCTATGATTGAGTTCCTGCCTTGACTTCCCTCAGCAATGGAGTGTGACCTGAGAATTGTAAGCCGAAATAAACCTTTTCCTCTCCAACTTGCTTTTGGTCATGGTGTTTCATTGTAGTAATAGTAACTCTGACTGACTAGGACAGTGATTAAATTTGGAGACAGTTTGTGTTAAATTGTTTGCCTCAGGATTATTGTGTTGCTCCAAAACTATCTGTGGACCCTTCTGATGGAAGCTTCCATCTGCCCTGACCTAGATGTGAATGCCACCTCTTATCCCTGTATTCCTTGTTCTGTCTATGGAGAGAGTCTTTCAAACAGTGACATTTGTAAATAGTTATTTAGAGTACAATTTCTTTAAACATGAAAGAGCCATAGCTCACTATGTATAGAGAGGGACAGAACAGGTACCCTAACTGCAAAGCTCTTGGGATCTCC